CACTCGGAGTAGAGCTCGCAAGCTGTGACTCGAAAAAATGCGATGGGAGATAATCATTGATATTCATTAGGCTAGCTTTGGAATTCGATGGAGTTTGAGGGAATACGCTCGAGGGGGTAAACTGCACTCGAGGTCAAGTATGCGGGAGGTTGTTCAACAGTCATGGGGTGAGCATAGAAGACATCATATGTGTTGTTCGAGTCGGTAGCATCACCCGGCATGATGGCCTCCTTGGATGTGGTCATCGGGCTCGTTGTCGTTGGAACGGCCTGCATATTCAATAATCATGGTGAGCGCATCATAAAAACTTAGTACATGCATACGCTCACCGTCAGAAATGTTAACATTAACATTGTCTTCGGGTCGAGGACCATGTGAGTCTGGGTTTGCGAGGTTAGGGTCCAGTGTAGGAGCGCTAGATTCGTTAGCGTTGTCGTTAAGTGTAACATTCGCGTGCGTCGAGGGTCTTTGAACGTTAGCGCGAGAGATGGGACTGTTGTTATACACTAAGTCCACCCTTGCCATTGGACATGGTGGTAGGTGAAAGGGTTTCAATGGGGGGAATCAGATTTTGGAGCGCTGACAGATCAACAACGCCGTCATGCGTGAATAGATGAAGGTAGATGTAAATAGTTACCCAAGGTCCTAGTCAGGCTTTTAGTGCCGCTGGACGTGGAATGGGTTTCTGCGCTGAAGTGAGTGGGTGGGATTGTCCATAGTGCCAACATAGGTGGCCACAACAGAAGGCGAATTGGGCACGGTGATAGTGCCAGCATAGGCGTCAGTATAAGATAGGCGAGCTGGGAACATCAGCGGTCCCAGACTTTTTGACAGACGCGGAGGGAGTATTAGTAGCCTGAGCGTCAATAGAAGTAGGCGTGGTTGGATAAGCGTTGGTTGACAAGGTGGGTGAAGTCCCAGCGCGAGCCTCTGAGATGATAGGCGTGGAGGGATGAGTCAAGGTCCCAGCGCGAGCCTCTGAAAGGATAGGCGTGGAGGGATGAGTCAAGGTCCCACCCAGGGCGTCTATATTGGAATGCATGAAGTCTGAGTAAAAGGGTGGCAGAGAAAGAGGCGGAAAAACTCACCAGTCCTCCCTCCTTCAATGCTACTATCTTCCAGCTCATCCTCCTCCCTAGTTGAGTCGCCCATAGATAGAGTGCCGTTAGGGAAAAGGTCCCTTGGAGACGGCTCAGACAGACAGGCGTCTAACCCAGGGTCCTCAGAGTTGGCGCCAGGGTTGGGGTTGCCAACAGGGATGTAGCCAGTTGCCGGCGCTACAATAGGGTTGTCAGGACTGACAGACCCACCCCGCCATACAGGTGAGTAGGATGGAGAGGGAGGAACGGACTCGGTGGGATCGATAAGGGACGATAAGGGGGATGACTGGAACGAAAGCGTTAAGGCATCATTTAGAATAGTGGTAGTGAACCGGAAATTTCCGGGGTTCTGGAATAGGAAGTCGGCCAATTCGGCGCGAGTTTGATTGAACGTGTCGTCCGGCATAATCCGAACTTGCGTAGGTGCGCTGTGATGACTAATGTTTGATGTAATGATGGATGATGGATGCCTCGCGCTGATTTTCCCAGGCACGAGGCCGATTGGCATTGGCCGTAAAGTCATTTCTGGCCCGTTTTTTATAGGGTTTTGAATTTCATTTATTTTCAATTGGTCTGAGTAAGTCAGAGGGTTACTTAGAAATCTCTGACGCATCAAATGCTCGGCTTGGAGCACATTTTCAATTTCCTGAGTAATATGATTGAAATTTCCCGGGGATGGATTACTAATTTTAATTTCGTCCAAATCCGGTGATTCTTCGATGATCTCATAGAACATGCTAGATTCTCGCAAGTTTCCGATCCATGTAGCTGGTTCAAAATCCCAATTTGGGTCATTCCCATCAGGTGTACACAGTAACTCGTACCTGACCTCCAAATTTAGCGGATCTTTAAATAGCAACCATGTGCCATCTTTCCTCTCATCAATAGACACATAATTACCACGCTGCCATGGTCGGCCTAATAATAAACTGAACGGCACGTGGTCTCCAACAAATAAATTCGCTTGTGTACTAACACCTCCACAGTTTAGTGGCACATTTTGTACAAGTCCGCGTAGTTTGCCTTCGCCGCCGTTCGCGTCATTCATAGATATAGACTTCGCGATGTCGATAGGTCTGTTGATAATGGTTTTCCAAATATGTTTATTCACAATATTTAATTGTGAACCGGTGTCAATAATCGCGTTGATGGCCTGGCCATCACATTGCATAGCTATTTTGATTAATAAACCACGCGTCTTTGTCCACACGGAGTGTGCTTCAATTTTCGAATCGTTTCCTAATGGCTTCGGCTTAATCGCGTTAGCCAGAATACCACTAAGTTCTCGGGAAGTTCCGAGGAGTTCTCCTACCTCCAATCGGATTGGTGTCTTAAGAACCGTCTCAAGAATTCGCTCCGGCTTAACCTTAGCCGATATATCCGAGACGCGTTGACGTGTCGCACCTCGCCGATCAGGGTTCAAGTTCGGTTTATAAGTGTTTTCCTTCACTTTGTCGTTCTTTTTCATTTCTTCGACGTCATCCATGATGATGTCATCGCTATCCCAGTCCTTGTCAATACTTTTGACTTGTTCCTTTACGATAGGCTGGGCTTGTTGATACTTTGGGACTGGAGTGGGTTCAGCGCTCTTAGCTTTAGGTTGGATGGGGTTCCTAGTTGACGTCTTCTTAGATACGCTTTCCTTTCCCTTGTTTTCATCCTTCCTTAGCGTCTGTCCTTGCTTGGGTGGAAACACCTTCTCATAGCGCTCTTTTCGTCCTTGAGTAGAGTTTCGCGTAGTCCTTTCAACTGGATACACGTGGTACTCATCCTCAGAGTCTTCGCTAGTCTCTTGGAGGTAAGTGTTCCTTCCAATTTCACTCTTGTCAGTCTCCGTCTGTGACTCAGTGTCATATTCTTCGATATACGCGGTAGATTTCGTACGTTTCACACTTAACGCTGACGGTGCGTTTTGTTGACTTTGATCATCAATTTTGATGAAGTTAGACGTAGGCGTTTTGTTCTCTCTGTTGAACGCCTCGACAATAGACTCCTCTGGCATTCTCCTAATTATTCTCCCATCGGGCCTAGCTACTTTGCCTCTCTCAGTTCTGGTGAGCTTACCGTCTGTCACAAGCTTTGTCAGCTGTGGACAGTTGGTCATGCTGTGCCCTGTCTCTCCGCATCCATAGCATTTTCGCTCTTGGAATGGTGTGTCAGGGGTAGAATAAAACCTAGAACCTGGATTGCCTCGGTATTGATAGTCCCCTCGGGTCGAACTAGTTCTCCCATCTGTAGTCGCATTGTTCCTAGCAGTTGTCCGGTTTTGTGAATAGACAAAGTTGTCTCGCTTCTTAGCTGGTGCAGCTACTAAGTCTTTAATCGTAGGGTCCATCCTAGTTGCTCTATAGTATAGCAACGCATAGTCTGGGTCCTCAAGTGAGATTGAACTCATTTGCTTGATAAGTCCCTCTATCTCGTCCAAAGGTTCCAAGGAGTTATTTCCCTTAGGATTAATACCTTTCTGATCTTGATAGGAACTATCCTTTAGACTTTACTTTCTTAGTCTCTTTCTTCTTCATATGCTTTCCTTGGGTTTTGGAATTCTTACGAAAAAACTCCTGTTCGGATTCGCTTGATTCCGTGTCTGAGTCTTCGTTCGAAGATTCCTCGCTTGATTTTTCGTCGTCTGTGCCTGAATCGATATCAGACACTAGTAAATCTGCATCAAACCTGTCTCGATGTAAAAGCTTCTCTGCAGTGATCGCGACTTTGTCAACTGGGAAGGCTAGCGTTAAATCTCTGTCTGGCTCGCTTGCCATAAGTCTGGACTCGATTTTAGTCCGGAGTTTTTTATTGATTCCCTCCCAGAAGTAACTGGCATATTCTTCACTTGTTATTTTGCTAGCTTGCTGAAGCCAGCCTCCGATGCGGATAAATCCCCTTACGTACTTCTTCCAAGCCGTAAGACTAGAGATTCGCTTATCGCGCATGATTTTCACATAAGAAATCAGATCCTTTCTCCTATATCGTTTAGTGTCCAGGTCTGCATCATAATACTTCAAAATGTCCGCCTTGAGCTTGCTCCAATCCGGAGTCCTGAAGCTCAATAATCCTTCGACGAATTCTGTGACATGGCGTGACATATACTGTGTGACAGATTCACACTTATCAGAGTCAGAGACTACATTATGATAGTCACATAACTTTTCGAAATGTTTCAGAAATCCTTTAACTTCTGAATAGCTCCCTTTGAATTTTGCCGGTGCCGCTTTGGTACCCGGGTTAGGCATTGTCAACACGGAGAGCGTCGTCATGTTGAAAACCTATACAATATGAATGATAGTAAACGATTTGGTGCTTCGAAGAAAATCCGATGTTTTATCAATTTTGCTCGAAGTCTTGACAATACGGTAGTTTCTTTTGCAAAGCCAAACAAATAAAGCCACCCTCGCGGTGGGCTCCAGTGATGTCTTGTTACTTGAGGGTCTTATATAGAAGCGTGTAAAAATGCAGTGACAATCACAACTACACTTTCATAAGACTAAAAGTTGCCAGCTCCTCAAGTCCACGGTCAACGGATTTTTTTCACTTCTCGGTTGATAACGTGTCGTTCGTGGGTGGTCAAAGAGTAAACAAGTTACCTCTATTTGTTTGAAGAAACTATATAGAAATGCAACTGTGGATTTGTCGTGAATAGAAATATGATAGGTATGTTTCACCCTAGTAGGTCGTGTTTCAACCTATGAAAGTCTGTTTCAACTTTGTCGTGTTCTCCTGTTTCGTGTCTCTCTAGCCGTAAAAGAGAGAGGTAATCGTTAAGTATACGTGGAGCTTAGCTCAATAAAATAATAACCGTGAGCAACCTAGTTAATCGTATAACTACAAGTTACTTTGTTGAAATGATACTTGCACCCTCACTATGTCTTGCCTTAATCTCACTCTCCAAATAGTGGGATAGGTTTAGAGTGGAAGTTTAACTTAAATCTTACTTCACCTGCACTTTGACTATGTCTTGCCTTAATCTCACTCTCAAATAGTGGGATAGGTTTAAAGTGGGAAGTTTCAATGTCTTCTAGGCACCAATGGCCTGCACTTATGTGTAAAGTGGGAAGCTATATTCACAGGGTGTAAAATGGGCTCCTTTTATACCTTTTTGGAGGCCAGATTACTAAGCATGATTCATCACATGGATTGGTAAGAATGTGCTTACAAACCCTACCATTTGGTGTGCTGAGTCAGCTTGTTTACTAAATACATTATAAATACAGTGCTATCTTACAAAGCATGATAAATCAAAGGTATGAGTCATCTCATGGATTGGTAAGATTGTGCTTACAAACCAAGCCTTTTGGTGAGCTGAGTCATCCTGTTTACTAAGAAGATTATAAATACAGTGAAATCTTACAAAGCATGATCAGTCAAAGGCATGAGTCATCTCATGGATTGGTAAGATTGTGCTTACAAACCAAGCCTTTTGGTGAGCTGAGTCATCCTGGTTACTAAGAAGATTATAAATACAGTTGCAAGTCTTACAAACCATGACGAATCAATGACAAAACATGATGAGTCAGGCTGAATCCTTACAAATCACCTTATTTCCCAGTCACATGACCTGATTACAAACATGATCAGTCAGCTAGTGAGAAAGTCTGATGAATAAGCCAAGAAAAATAGAAAGAAATGGAAGGTCACAGAACAAAATAGAAATACATAGAAATCCCCGTGTATGATACGAGAAACGAGGCTTCAGAAAACAGACTGATGAATCAATGGAAAATGATAGAATCACTTGGTGATATGGTAGAGTACAGTTCATTATACCTTCCTTATCTTTTGTATAGCACACATGTCATGGTATGAACTGCATACCATGCATGACACCGCTTCTGAAGTGCTGCCCCCAGAACTTTATTTTCCTCGTCTGTACGGGGATCGCTGGCAGGAGTATTTTTAAACACTACATCCTCTTCAGGCCATCTTTTGAACCATTCAAGGTATATTGGATCCCAGTATTGGGAAACCTTGGCCTGTAGCTGCGCTAACAGAAACCCACTATAGTATGTCTCAAGGAACGCCTTTTGTTCAGGTGTGGTCCAGACTGTTCCTGCCATCCTATCTGAGCTGAATTAATAATGATCACTCGATGAGACACAATTGTCACCGCTTGCCTTGGTGAGGTACACGTTTTTTTGAATAGCAGCGTGATTTTAGGTTTTGTGCGGTCCTCGCAAGCCAAGCCTGAAAATTTAATGCTGACCACACATCTTCAACCAAT